CGACAAGTGTGAAAACCGCAGCCCTCCCAAGGATAACGAGGTCCTTGCTGAGTCTGCGTATGACGTCACTCCGCTGGACCCCGCAGCAGCCCTCGAAAGTGGCGACAATGGCGCAGTTCGCAACAATTGTGCAGCTCGCAGCCCCCCAGGGATGGCGAGGTCTAAGCTGAGTATGCGCATGACGTCACTCCGCTGGACCCCCAGCAGCCCTCGAAAGTGGCGACAGTTTTGCATTTCGCAGCCCTCCCAGGGATGGGGAGATCGAATCTGAGTCTGCGCATGACGTCACTCCGCTGGACCCCCCAGCAGCCCTCGAAAGTGGCGACAGTGTTGCATTTCGCGGCCCTCCCAGGGATGGCGAGGTCACGTAGGACGGCGAGGTAGGAGGCAGGCTGGCAGGCAGGTACGAGCCAGGCAAGAGGCAGGAGAGACGAGGAGGACGGAGGGGAGGAGACGGGAGGCGGGAGGAAGGAGTGGAGGCCGCAGTGCCCTAGTGTTCAGAACGAGAACCCCGCGCAGGAAGTTGGGAAAAGAAACCTCCAGTTCCCCAGACATGCAGCGGTATGATTGTTTCAAGACGCGGTCGAGGGAGGGCGTTCCATCCCCAATCATTGTTTGACTGCCCGTGGCCTGGCGAAGGCCCTTGGAGACGAAAACGGCCAAAGATCTGCCGTCATTTTTTTTTTTTCGGCGCGAGCATCGTCCGAGTCCCCATTCTCGTCTTCTTCGCCTCTGCCCCCCACCCGCCCCACCCCTTCCCCCTGGCCCACCCCGATACGATGGCGTGCGGCCCCGAGCCGATCGAGGAGGGCGAGGCTCGCCTGGAAACGCATATCTGGAGTCTGCATGTTGTGCAGATGCTCCTGCATCGAGGGGTCCACCTGCGGGTTCCCCTCCAGCGCCACATGCACCACCTCCTCTTCCTCCTCTTCCCCCTCCTCATCCTTCTCATCATCATCATCATCAGCATCATCATCATCATCATCATCAGCAGCAGCAGCAGCATCATCATCATCATCAGCAGCAGCATCATCATCGTCATCATCATCATCAGCATCAGCATCAGCATTATTATCATCATCATCATCATCATCATCATCAGCATCATCATCATCATCTCCATCTTACCACCACCATCACCACAAACACCACCACAACAACAACCACCAGCCCCATGTTCGTAAGCATCGTCCTCATCGTCTTCATCATCAGCATCATCAGCATCATCAGCATCATCAGCACAACCATCATCATCTGCAGAATCATCATCGTCGTCATCATAATCATCATCATCATCATCATCATCATCATCATCACCATCATCAGCATCATCACAATCATCATCAGCAGCATCATCGTCAGCATCAGCATCAGCATCCGCATCAGCATCATCATCATCAGCAGCATCAGCATGATCAGCATCATCACCAGCAGCATTGCCAACCACATCATCAGCATCGCCATCAGCCCTATCATCTGCATCAGCATCATCACCATCACCATCATCATCAGCATCAGAATCATCATCAGCCGCATCATCATCAACATCGACGTCAACGTCAGAAGCAGCATCATCATCGTCAGCATCGTCATCATCATCATCAGATGCAGCATCAACAACATCCTAGTAGTCGTCATCAACATCAGCGGCAGCAGCATCGTCGTCACAAGCATCAATAACAACAGCATGGCCTAATGCAACAGCATTATCAGCATCACCACTCGCCACCACCACAAGCAGCATCATCAGCATCAGCATCATCAAAAACAACAGCATCAACATCAGTAACATCATCGTCGTCATCGCCATCAACCTCATCATCAGTGCCAGCAATTTCATCATCGCCATCAGCATCCTCATCATCAGCATCAGCATCAGCATCATCGACAGCATCATCCTCATGATCATCAAAGCCATCAACACCAGTATCGTCAGCAGCATCATCAGCATCAGTATCAGCATCATCATCATCAGCAGCAATCATCATCATCACCACCAGTAATCATCAACATCAGCATCGTCAGCATCAGCATCAGCAGCAGCATCATCATCAGAATCGACATGGTTATCGTCGTAGTCATCGTCGTAAGAATTGTCAGCATCACCATCAGCATCCTTCTCCTTCCCCTCATCATCAGCAGCATCAGCATCAGCATCAGCATCAGCATCATCATCATCATCGTCGTCGTCATTGTCGTCGTCGTCAGCAACAGCATCGTCATCGTCGTCGTAATCAGCATCATCAGCAGCGGCATCATCAACGTCATCATCCTCGTCGCCAAAATCAGCATCATCCCCACCTGTGTCGTAGTCGGCATCGTCATCATCATCGTCACACTCACCACCACAACCACAACCACAACCGCACTCGTCATCATCAACATCACCAGTAAGCATCATCCGCATCCTCATCCTGAACAGCCTCCTCCTCATCATCATCGTCTTCGTCGGCGTCGTCGTCACCATCACCACCAGAATCACCACTGCCGCAGCATCATCATCATCGCAATTAGCATCGTCACAACCATCATCACCATCCACATCCACGTCCACGACATCGGCGCCTTGATCGTCGTCACCACCACTGCCACCATCACAACAACAAGACCATAGAACATCATCGAACGACCGACATCACCATCAGCACAAACAGCGTCGTAGATGCCCCTAATGTTCACAATATCACCCATCTCGACACCAGCATCAGCATCATCATAACCACCATCGTCGGAATAAGCATGACCATCCTCGTCGCAATGGTGACCATCACCTCCATCATCATCAGCAGCCGCAGCCTCATCATCACAAGCATCGTCAGCACCGTCAGCATGGTCACCACCATCATCACATCCATATGCTGGTCGACCACGCGCTGTAATCGAAACAAGTTCCGACACGCCCTGACCCTCCGCCTGGTGCGAGCAGTGCCGCACGCAATGCAGGTGGCCTCGACAGTGCCTGCGATTACCTCACGGCGACGGTCTATGGACAGGCTCCCACTGTCCACCATCACACCAGCGCCCCCTGCGAGATTCATGGAGAGAGGACCTCTTGAAAGCAAGATGATCCCATGTGCTGGACTGTGCGCTGGCGCGCGCGTCGCGGAAAAAAGGAGAGCCCGGACGAAACCACCAAACGCATGAAGATATCATCGCCACCCTCTCCATCGTTCTCGTCGTTCTCACCATGCTCCCCCCCCCCGCTCACCTCCCCCCTCCTGCGGTTCGCAAGCGATTGGAGCGTCCAAGGAGGCCCCCGCGAGATGGCACAAACAATTGATCATACTTAGGGCTTCGGTCAATGTTGGCTCACCGCGGGGGGGAGGCGGGGGGCTATTCTAGCACACCCCCTTCGTTGATCGATCTCCTCCAAGATGGCCTCAAGACGCACCCCACGGCTGTCAAAAGTGCCCCAAGAGGGCCCCAAGGGGCGCCCATGAGGCCCCGAGAGGCCCCCAAGAGAACCCCAAGAGGTCTCCAAGAAACCCCAAAAAGACCCCTAAGAGGCCCCTCCGAAGCACCACGCCAAGAGGCCCCCAAGACACCCCAAAGGGACTCCAAGAAGCTCGCAGAAGCCATCCGAAGAGGCCGCGAGAGGCATCCAAGAGGCCTCTGGCCTTTCTGCTCGCCCTCCTCCTCCTCCGCCTGCTCCTCCTTCCCCTGCTCCTCCTACTACTCATCTTATCATTGTTCGTATTATTATTGCTGTTAGTACGCATCTTCGTAAACACGATTATTAGTATTACCCGTGGTAGTACGATTAGTATTACCCGTGGTAGTACGATGAATATTCCTACACTGCTTTGTACTATTCGTCACGTTGATTATTGAGATTCCCCTACGTGACCATACGTATCATACTATGTATTAGTGTTATTTCTACCATCCGTGATGTCATTACTACTCGTATTATGGATAGCATTCGCATTCAACATGTTATCATTTGCATGAGAGATCCGACTATCTTAGCATCAGTAGTGTTGGGGCTCCTCCTCCTCCTCCTACTCCTCCACTCCTTTTCTGTATACATAACTCCCTCCTGTCGCGCCCCGACGCCAGTCGAAAGGGCGGGTCGGGCGTTTCGCCTGCGACTTCCTCACCACGTATGATCCAGGAAGCTTCAGAAGAATTGGCAGCAGCTTCACGGATAGAGGGCGGCCCGTGTTCAAAATGCGGTTCTCGCCTTAAAGCCGCGCGCATTCGTTTCTGACAATTGCATGAGTGTCACGGGTTGAGGGCGGGTCGTTTTCAAAATGTGGCTGTCGCCTTTGCGCCGCACAAACTCTTTAAAACAACCTACAAGAAGTTGACGGATTGGCGGCGGGAGGTGTTCAAACTGTGGCTCTGACCGTAGTGCCACGCACATTCATTTTTTGAGCTGCGCAAAGGTTTTCAGGGATGGAGGGCGGTTCGTTTCCAAAATGTGGCTCTCGCCTTAGCGCCGCGTACATTCGTGTACAAAAATGCAAGCATTCCACGGACCGAAGGCTGGAACAAATTCAAATAGTGGCTCTCGCCTTAGCTCCGCGCACATTCGTTTTCAAAAATTGGAAGGGCTTCACGGGTTGAGAGCTGGTAATTTTCAACATGTGGCTCGCGCCGTAGCGCCGCGCATATTCTTTTGTTAGGAAACAAATCACGGACTGAGGGCGGTTCGTTTTCAAAATTAGGCTCTCGCGTTAGCGCCATGCATTTTCGTTTCAAACATCAGTTTCAATGAATATCATGATTAACGTACCAGAAATAATGTGTAGGAACGATCCATGATTGCCAGTGCGCAACAGTTACGCTGATTCGCGGTGTCGAAGGTTCGCGGTGTTGAAGTGCCAATAATGGCATTCTGGCACGATTCGAGATCACCAAGCCGTGCCAGTCAGGTTAACTCATGGCGTTGAAGTCCTGAGAATGATGTTGTGGCACGCTTCAGGTCTGTCACGCAGTTTGCCCCCCTACAGGGCAATCCCCTCAGTAAAAGTAAACCCTTGCATGGGACTATGAAGAGGGAGCTCGGAGGGAGGGTGTATTCCAACATCGATTATTGGGTTTCCACTGGTCCTCCTCCTCATCCTCCTCCCCCTCCTCCACCTCCTCCTCCTCCTCCTCCTCTTCCACCTCCTCCTCCTCCTCTCCCTCCTCCTCCTCAACCGCCCGTTCCTCCTCGTCCCTCCTGCCTCCTCCCCCTCCCTCCTCCTCCTCCTCCTCTTCCTCCTCCTCCTCCTCCTTCTATCCTCCCACTTTTGGGGTATGACGACTTCCAAAGCACCTAATTCCGCGGCGTGTTCCTCCACATCCCTGATCAGGGCAACTCTCCTGGACATCGTTTCTGGATTGTTTGGTGGGGTTACGCGACGCGTCTACAATTGAGCATGTCATTCGGTTATTGGGAAATCTCTGTTGGAAGCGAAGAAGATCCCTTCGGCTCCCTTCGGACACCCAAGAAATCCGCCACCTTGCCTGCACGGAACACCTGGGCTGAACTGGAACGGAAAGAGCGTTTCAGAAACTTGCCCGAGAAGACTCATAGCACAGTTCGCTCTTAGAAGCCTTGGCGTGAAGATGTTTCACGTCACCGTTCGCTCTTGGAGGCCTTGGTGTTCAGAGCTGTTTACAGAACCGCTCGTTATTTGGAGACTTGGCATTATGCATCCACCGTTCGCTCTTGGAAGCCTTGGCGTTCAAAATTGTTTGTCCCACTGCTCGTTCTTGAGACCCTTGGCATTCAAAAATGCTTACATTACCGATTTGTAAAAAGGGCTTTCCGGTCACCCGCTGCTCTTGGGAGCCTTGGCGTCAAATCTGCGCCCGTCAGTGGGCCTTCCAGGGGGGTTCTCTGGCGACCCTTGTGGGTGTCTTCGAGCCGTCTGGAGCCCTTCTGGGACCTCTTCGGCCGTCTCGGGGGGCTTGGCCCGTCTTGGGGCTCTCTTTGGGTTCTCTGGCGCCTTCTCGGGGGCCGCCCACAGCACTCTTGGGGCTCTCTTGGGAGTCTCTTGGGGTCATGTTGAGCCCCTCTTACACCGTCTTGCGGCTCTCTGTGGCTGTCCTGAGGCCCTCTTGTGTCGTCGTGGGGCTCCCTTGGGAGCCTGCTGGGCAGTCCTGGGGCAGCCTCGGCGGCCCTGAGAGCCGTCTTCGGCCGATAGGGGGCCGAAATGGCAACCTAAACAGTGGAAACACCAAGGAAAACCTATGGTGTTTGTCTTGCTGAGCTCTTGGAACGTCCTCAGAGCCTCTTTGGCCGTCTTAGGGGGGCTCGGGTCGGCTTGAGGCCCTCTTGGGGCCCTCTTGGGTCATCTTTGTCATCCAATGACCCTCTTGGGCTCTCTTGGGGCCCTCTTGGGGCCCTCTTTGGTCCCTCGTGGGGCTCTTTATGCCCGTCCTGGCGGCGTCTTGGGCCGCCTTGGAGCTCTCTTGGGAACCTCCTCGGCTGTCATGGGGCAATCTCATGAGCCCTCGGAGCCGACTTTGGCCGTCGGGGGCCCGATAATGCGATCGCCAGAAAAAAAAATTGGAAAACATGTGGACAATCACTGTTGGTTGCCTACTCAAGCCGTCTAGGGGGTCCTCTCTGGAGGCTCTCACGCCGTCCCGGAGCCTCTAGGGCCGTCTTTGGGAGCTTGTTCCGTCTTCGGGCCCTCTCGGGGCCATCTTCGGCCCTCTTGGCAGCCTCCCGTGGCCCTCTTGGGGCTCTCTTGGGAGCCTCTGGGGCCCCTCGGAGCCTCTCCCGGGGCCCTCTTGGGGCGTCTTGAGGCTCTCATGGACCGTCTTGGGGCCCTCTCGGGGGCCTCTGGGGCCGTATTGAGGCGATCTGTCGGGCCTCTTGGGTCGTCTTGGGCCGTCGCAAGCCCGAAAGGCGAGAACTCTAAAACCATTCAAACACGAATGGAGGAGGAGGAGGAGGAGGAGGAGGAGAAGGAGGAGGAGGAGGAGGAGGCCCAGTGAGACTCCCAAGCCTCTCCGAAGGCGTCGGACTGGCGAAGAGCCCTCTGAGACTGCCCAAGAAGCCCCAAGGGACCCCCACACAGGCACTCGATGAGGCGAAACAAACGTATTCCTTGAAGAGCCTCCCGGGAGGGCCCCAAGACTGCCCTAGAGCGCTCCGAGAGTGCACCAAGACTGCCCAGAAAGGCCCCCAAGACGGCCTCTGAAGGCGTCAGGCAGTCCCAGGAGAACCCCAGCAGGCGACCAAGAGGCCCCCAGCAGGCTCCCAAGAGGAGCCCCCCCCTCCTCCTCCTGCTCCTCCTCCTCATCCTCCGCCTCCTCCTTCCTGCCTTCCTTCCTTCCTCCCTCCCTTCGTTCCTTCCTTCCTTCCTTCCTTCCTCACTTCCTTCCTTCTTTTCTCCCTCCCTCCCTCCTTCTCGCCCTCCCTCCCTCCCTCCCACCCTCCCCCTCCCTCCCTCCCTCCCTCCCTCCCTCCCTCCCCTCCTCCTTCTCCTCCGCCGCCTCCTCCTTCTCCTCCTCCTCCTCTTCTTCTTCTCTTCTTCCTCTCCCTCCCCCTCCTCCTTCTCGTCCTCCTCCGTTTCCTCCTCCTCCACCTCCTTCTCCTCCTTCTCCTCCTCCCCCTCCTCTTCTTATTCCTCTTCCTCATCAGCATCAGCATCATGATCAGCATCAGCATCAGCATCAGCATCATCATCACCATCATCCTCAGCCTCATCATCACCATCATCATCATCATCAGCATCATCAGCATCATCAGCATCATCAGCATCATCAGCATCATCAGCATCATCAGCATCAGCATCAGCATCAGCATCATCAACAGCATCAGCATCATCAGCATTATCAGCATCATCCTCAGCCTCATCATCATCAGCATCATCATCATCATCATCATCATCAGCATCATCATCATCATCCTCCTCATCATCATCATCATCAGTATCATCAGTATCATCATCACCACCATCAGCAGCAGCATCAGCATCAGCATCAGCATCAGCATCACCACCATTATCATCATCATAATCATCACCATCACCATCATCATCATCACCTCCATCAGCAGCATCATCAGCATCAGCATCCTCAGTATCATCATCAGCAGCAGCATCATCAGCGGCATCATCATCAGCATCAGCAGCATCAGCATCAGCAGCATCAGCATCAGCAGCACCAGCATCATCAGCATCAGCATGAGCAGCCTCACCCTTGTCAGCATCAGCAGCATCAGCATCAACATCATCATCAGCAGCAACAGCAGCATTATGATTAGCAGCATCATCAGCATCATCAGCATCATCATCATCAGCATCATCGACATCAACATCATCATCCTCGTCAGCATCGTCATCATCATCAGCATCATCATCAGCATCATCATCAGCATCATCATCGTCAGTATCATCATCAGAAGCAGCATCACCATCATCACCATAATCAGCATCAGAATCATCATCACCACCATCATCAACATCATCAGTATCATCATCATCCCTACCGCGCTGACAAAGACGAGGCGCTGACGAAGATGGGGTCGAGTTCACGACCCGCCCCAATTCAGACTGGTCGTCGGAATTGCACATGTCCTACACTCAGTCTCCTTCCTGCCGTGATCGTGCACAAGCACGGTGGCGAGGTTTGCCGCAAGCAACTGGATAACAATGTGTTGACTTAGACAACCGCGAATTGCCTTTGGATGCCTGGAAAAGTAGTTCAGAAGCCTGCGAGTGTGTACGCAAACCTGGTGAAGATAGCAAACATGCACATGTCAGGAACTTCAGTGATTGGCAGGTTCGTACGCATCTGGTTAAAGTCTTCTAAATTCGGACGGCTTTATCTGGAAAGCTGCGGACGTATTGAGCACCCTGGAAATGACTTTCAAGCCTGGAAAATGATTGCTGGGGCCATCGGACTTCTGTTGGAAACCACAGGAAGTAGTTTGTGACTGGCGCTCTCCGTGAAACCATGGAACTGCTTTGCCACAAGACTGACCTCCGAGATCCTCCGATGGCTTGCGAGAATCTCCGAGACCCTCCGAGAATCCAGGGGAGGAGGCTTCCGAGAGCCCCCAGACGGCCTCGAACGACCTCCGAAGAGGCTCCGACGACCTGCAAATAGCATTCCCCGAAAAAACTCAGATCGGGCACATGCTAGCATGGATCATGCATCCGTGGATCTGTCGCGTGGGCGCCATATCCATACATTGGGGAAAACATCCCCCGAACATTAAGCCAATGCCGCCTGATTTGGCGACGGCGCGTGCCGCCGAGGGACCGCGACTGCGACCGTGACCGTGACCCGCACTGCGCACTGTGTAGGTGCCGTGGGTTGGAAACGAAGCGCCCGCTTCAGTCCAAAGGTCTGACACAAATTAGCCTGGCGAGAGACCTCTCCATATGCAGCTGCGAATATCGCCAGGCAGGCGAGATGACGGAAGGGAGGGTGGTCCGACATGTGCGCCGCGGACGCATGCGAATGCCGCCAGCGGGGCCTTCGGTGGAGCTCCCTATGGGTCCACGAAACGTGTGAGGGTTGCGCCAAAGTGTGCGGCGCGGACGCATGCGAACGTCGCCACTGGGTCATTCGGTGATGGGGAAACGTGTGAGAAGTGCGCCGAAATGTGCGGCGCGGACGCATGTGAACGCCGCCACTGGGGCCTTCGGTGGCGCTCCCTATGGGTCCACGAAACGTGTGGGTGCGCCGAGATGTGCGGCGCGGACGCACGCGAACGTCGAGACTGGGGCCTGCGGTCGAGCTCCCTATGTAGCCACGACACGCGTGAGGGGTTGCGCCGAAATGTGCGGAGCGGACGCATGCGAATGCCGCCACTGGGGCCTTCGGTGGAGCTCCCTGTGGGTTCACGAAACGCGTGTGAGGGATGCGCCGAAATGGCGGGTGGATCCGCATGCGGGCGTCGTCGCCGGGCCCTTCGGTGGAGCTCTGTATGGGGCCACGAAGCGTGTGAGGGATGTGCCGAAATCAGGGGGCGGAACCGCATGCGGGCGTTGCCGCCGGGGCCTTCGGTGGAGCGCCTTATGGGGCCACGAAGCGTGAGGGGTGTGCCGAAATGGGTCGGGCGGACGCTGCGGAGGGCAGAGGCGTGAGGAGGAACGCGGGGCGCTGCAAAACGAGGACCCGACACCACAGGATGGTTGGGAACAGACGCGTTCTGGACTGATCCAACAATCCCGCGTGGCACATCTCATGAGCAAGTGGATGGCGTCTCGCGCCTCATAGTCGACTGAAAAAGCGTCATATCCATGTTTGCGTTTCCTCTGTCCCAAAGCCCCTGAAGGAACCAAACATCCACCGATGCGACTTGATCATTAGGCGGTCCCAAAGTCCCGACCGCTTCACTGGGGGTAAATCTCGGCTACACGCAAGTGCGACCCCAGGCAAAAGTGACCTTCGGTGCGTGGCACTCGGGTGCCGCTGGGAGGCCAAACCCGAGCGCGCAAGATGCTGCTAACACATCGCGTTCAGTCATCTGGGGACCCCAATGTGCCCGCACCAACGATCACTCTTCGGCGTCACTCTTACGTGTAGCCCGAGTTCTCGGTTCCGGATCCGTGGTTGATGGCCCACGCCAGGAAAAGGCGCAAGGATCGAAAGAGAAACCAACAAAAATCGTCTGAAATCTGGGCTCCCCGGCCCCTGATGCGGGAAGCCCTCCGAGGCCCCGCACCCGGCCGAGGGGAGCCGCTCTGCAGTGTAGGCGGGGCGGCAACCACGGCGATGGCGCCCGCGCGCGCAGAACGGCAGCGGCGGCGGCCTCCGCAAACTCGTCGTCATCTTCCAGGTCGTCGAGGTTCCACGGCATCTGCGGGAGGGGCGTCGCTCTCGCGGCGACGAGATCCAAAACTTGGCGGCGCCTTCGAGGGGTTGGCGCGAAGGGGGCGGCCTTCTGAGATGGCAGCGAGGCTTCGAACGAGGCAAGGGGGCTTCTTATAAGCTCGCCAGATGACTAAAAAGCCCTCATATACGCCTTCAGCGCCCTCTAAGATGCGGGGCCGACTTTCCGCCAACAATACCATAGTTGGGCAAGGGAGGAGGAGGAGGAGGACCAGCGATACTGCAACAAACCCTCCCTCCAAGTTCCCTCTTCATAGGCTCCTACACATTTTCATCTTTACTGAGGACATGCCCCGTTGAATGCAACTGTTTGAAAATCCAGAACGGTGCCAGAACCCCATTCATGGGACTTCGACGCCGCGAGTGGCTGTAAGTATTGCGTCTGGACAATCCTGAACCGCACCAGAACACCATTCCTGGGACTTCAACACCGCGAATCCACGGGACTGTTGCGCCGTGATAGTCCGACATCGTGCCAAAACACCATCTCTGGAACGTTAACCATGAGAATCCTTAACCTCTTGCAAACTCTTAATACGAATGTGCGCGGCGCTAAGGCGAGAACCACATTTTGAAAAGGAGCCGCCCTCCATCTGTGAAACTCTTGCAAACTTAGAAGACGAATGTGCGCGGCGCTCAGAGGAGACCCACATTCTGAAAACGGACCGCCCTCCACCCGTGAAACTCTTGCTATGTTTTAGACGAATATGCGCTACGCTAAGACGAGAGCCACAGCTTGAAAACGGACCGCCCTGCATCCGTGAAACTGTTGCACATTTCACGCTTCAGGATCATAAACTGTGAGGAATTCTCAAGCGAGACGCGCGGCCCGCCCTTTCGACCAGCCACGTGGTGCGACAGGGACGAGTCATCTAGAAGGAACGGGACTGTAGGCGGAGGAGGAGGAGGAGGAGAAGGAGAGGGAGGAGGAGGAGGACCTCCCCATCCCCCCTTCTCCCCAATCCTACCCATGGTAGCGGTGGTGAAAAATCTGCCCATCAAAAGCAGGCCCCCGCCCTCTTCCCAAGCCGCGCCGGCCCCCCTACGAGCGCAGCCGACATATGCTCATACCCGCCGCCCCTGCCCAAAACATGTCCACCGGCTTCCGCCTCTCGGGCCCTCGCCTGGCCCCGGGGCCGTGCAACGACGACTCGGGAGGGAAAGCAAGCCCTGGGTCGTGGATCTACTTGCGGGCAATAGTTATATCTACATCCAGTGCGTCTTGGAGTCTTGGGCTCTCTTCCCCAGAAGCCAGAGGCGCACTGGATATGGATAAACATCTGGCCCCAAAAGGCTAGATTGTTATCCATATCCAGTGCGCTTCGGCCTTGCGGCACCCCTTCCCAAAAAGTCCTAGATGCTCTGGATGTGGATGCAAGTGCTGCCCGCACTACTGACCCATGTCAATCCAGACCTGGGTCCGTCGGGCTTCGCGGGATCCTGCAGGATCCCCTAGGATCCTGCAAGATCCTGCGCCCGAGCCCTTGTCAGTGCGCCCCTGGCCCCGCAGGACACTGCAAGATTCGACGCTCTGAGTGTCCCCGTTTGCACTGACCCCCGTCTCAACGCCCCCGACCGGAGAGAAGGTCGGGACCTCGGGGGACCGCGGACTGAAAGCACCAGACATCGCATGTCTGCATCCTTTGCCCCCAAGAGCGGTGTATACCATCTCTCCCCGCGCTTGGCCAGGGAGGCATGCGCACCACCCCTGGGCTCAGGATGGCCCTGGCGAGGAGCGACGGGCACGTGCAGATCTCGTCGCCCCGTCTCTCGTCTATGTATAGAACTCTGGGTGTCCGGGTACATTTCCGACGCCTCTGGCCAGGCCCATCCTCTGCCAAGGAGCCGTGTTTTCGCCCCGCTGGATTGGCCAGGGAGGTATATTTCGAACGGGAACGGGGCGACCAAAAGGTACGATAGTGCTGCTGCGTTCTGACCAGAATTTCGAGGGGACTCCAGCCGTGGCGACGAGGGCCTCCCACGAGGCCCCAAAAGGCGAAAACGAAACGAGGGTAGCGGTATGGATACCTGTCCCCCCTCTGGGACCAGGAAGGCACAGTTTGAGCGGGAGGAAGGTCAGCGAAGGGGGTCAGCGGAGGGACGGGGGGGCAGCATAGCACAGGGGGTCAGCGAACCAGCTGCATGCATCCGGTGCGGCGAGCAGGGGGGCCAGGCCAAGGGGAAAGGCACATGATGGCCCTAGGCGTGTCCACGGAAGAGGGGTGGGCCAGCGAATGCGTGGAAAAAAACAAGAGCGCCATTCACTTTGGGAGATGTCATGGACCCGGCCATGATGTCCACACACTGGCGGACGCCCCCGAATGCAGGGGGGGCACCAGCAGAGGCCCTTGCATAGAGCAGCGTGCCCGAAGGAGGGGACCTAAGCTGGCTGCACACCGCGAGGATCTCGTGACCACCTCTTTTTCCAGACCCACCCTTTGGCTCCTCCTCCTTCTCATCATCATCAGCACCATCACCATCATCATCATCATCATCATCATCATCATCATCAACATCACCGTCATCAGCATCATCGTCATCAGCATCATCATCAGCATCAGCATCGTCATCAGCATCATCAGCATCAGCATCATCATCATCATCCAATCATCATCATCATCAGCATCAGCATCATCATCATCATCATCATCATCATCACCGTCATCGTCATCATCATCAGCATCAACATCATCAACAACACCATCATCATACCATCATCTGCTTAGCACGCGCAGCCGCCGCCAACACGGAACACCTGTCCTGTAATCACTTGGGCGGCTCACGGTCTGACCCTGTTTGCGCGCCTTCTGGACGGACCCAAGGCATCTGAATTGAACTGAACTGAACATCCCTTCGTCCTCTCCGATCCTCCGTGCCCCCCTCGCCCCCCCCCCCTCGCCCCCCCCCCCCACTGGCCTAAGACGTCCTTGGCTTGGCGCGCAGGCCCCTGAGGCCCTCTGGGCCTCGTGAAAGGCTCGGCACGCCCGAAAGGGGCGTGGAAAAAAATATCCCAGCGCGACCCTACCTAGGAGTTGGAACCCCTAGCAAAGCAGCATTAGTAGTAACAGTAACGCTAAGCTAAAGCTAAGCTGAAGCTAAGCTGAAGCTAAGCTAAAGCTAAGCTAAAGCTAAGCCGCAGCTAAGCTAAAGATAAGCTAAAGCTAAGCTAAAACTAAGCTAAAGCTAAGCTAAGGCTGAGCAACAGCTAAGCTAAAGCTAAGCTACAGCTAAGCTAAAGATAAGCTAAAGATAAGCTAAAGATAAGCTAAAGCTAAGCTAAAGCCAAGCTAAAGCTAAGCTAAATCTAAGCTCAAGCTAAGCTAAAGCTAAGCTAAACGCTAAGCGAAAAGCTAAGCGAAACGCTAAGCGAAAAGCTAAGCGAAACGCTAAGCTAAAGCTAAGCTACAGCTAAGCTAATTTTTTCTCAACCGCACGCAATCAGCCCAGCGACGCGTCGCCGCGCCCGCCGCCCCGGCGCGGCGCCCCGCGCGCCAGGCCGGCGGGCGAGCCCGGCCGGCACGACACGGGGGAAACGACGGGGGCCCCAGAAAAAAGGGCAGCGCGGCGCCGCCTTAGCGGAAAAGGCGGCGCCGCGCCCCCCGCCCCCAGGGCCCCAGGACCGGGCCCCAGGACCTAAAAAAGGACCGGACCCCAGGACCGGACCAAAAACAAAGAAGGCGGCACGACACGACACGACACGACGGGGGACGAAACGGCCACGACCGACACGCACGACACGACACGGACGAACGACACGACAAAGACGAGCCGCCGGTCCCGCCCCAGGGCGGCGAATGCTGGGGGGGACCCAGCACCACCCTGGGGGAGGCCACGGGACCTGGCGACCCCCCCGGGGGAAGGAAACCGCACTTTGGCGGCGTCCCCCGGGGAGCGGGGGCTTTTCGCCCCGAGGGCCCGGCGGTCCCCGCCTCCGCCAGGGGGCCGAAGCCCGACCCCACTCTTGGGGGCCCCCCCGGCTAAAGCTAAAGCTAAAGCTAAAGCTCCCAGGGGACTGGGGGGAACCGCTCCCAGGGGACTGGGGGAACCGCCCGGGGCGCTTTCCACTGCCCGGCCCCTTTAAGCTAGAGAGTAAGAACCCTTCTAGGCAGAGCCTAGGTAGGGAATGAGCACGCTGCCCAACCAACAACAAATGCTGCCCAAGACCGACAGCGGCCCGTGTTTGGCAGGCGGCCCTTGTCCCAAATGGACAACGCCCGCGGCGGCACTGACAGCGAACCTGCTTCAAAGTGGATAAGAGCTACTGTCGGGCTTCGTCCCCGTCTTTTCCGTCACTATTCCGCTTATCCCGAGAGATGGCCCCGAGGCCAGGGGGGGAGGGAGAACGTCAGGAAGGAACTAACCCAGCGGGGGACGCATCGACATGGAATCGGCGATACATTGTCCATATAATCCACGGCTCCGCCCCCACCCACCCCCAAATGCTAATGGGATCGCCACACCCCCGCTGGATGGGTATGCCTGTGAGCCTCGCGCAGGCCTCGCGAATGGAATCGCCCTCCCCTTGTGGTCGTGGCCCTGTGGAGGTGGCGTGGTGGTGGATGCCCGTGCACCCCCCTCCCCTTGTGGGTGTGGAGTGGTTCGTTGTCTTCTGTCGTCGTCGTCGACGTCGGCGACGACGTCTCCCGTCGTCTTCCGTCATCTTCCGTCTTCGTCCGTCGTCGTCGTCGTCGCCATCGTCGTCGTCCCCCCCCATCCCATCTGGGCGGGGGGGGGGGCTGTGGAACACTGGGACTCATCCCATCTGGGGGGGGGGCGCTGTGAGCCCTCGAACCGATAGCGATCCGCACGCTCCTTGTCGGAGGGCTGTGGAGCCCCGATCGGCCATCGATAAGCGATTGGACTCGATGCATCCCCCCTGAGCCTATCACCCTCTTGATGTTCGAGCCATAACTCGGGCCTCAGGCGGCCGTCCGGGACGATTCCAGCACCCTGGCGAGGCGAGGCATCTGGAAACCACCTCAAGCTTCGAAACCGTTAGAGAAACTTCCGAAAACGTTTGAAAACTCCGCCCCCAGAAGTCCTGGGGACACCTCGGGCCTGGGGTGGAGGGTCAGGATGTGCAAGTGAATGAGGAGGAGGAGGAGGAGGACCAAAATAAGACCGCGATGCATAAACGGTGCTGCAATACACCCCCCCGTCCCAAGTCCCATCCTCATACGTCCCTGCAAGAAGTACAAGAAGTGCCCTCCTTTAAAGGACCAGCACCGCTGGGTCTGCCAATTGGCGAGGGCCCCGCTTTGAAACGAAAATGCCTTGCATCCTACACGCGCGTCATCGGGGGCGCGAAAAGCACTGATCATACATGTCAACGAAGTGTCCAACGAGGTCCCTCTTTCGAAGAAGGGCCGCCCCGCATCCGTGCATCGGTGACACAAAATCACAAGAGTGGCAATGAACTTCGAGAGGCCTTAACCAACGGCTCCAGCTTAAAAAAAAGCCGCCGTGGATCTTTGCTGCACTACGGGCATTGAAGTTGTGTACGGTTTTAACATGGACGACATATCAGGCGAGAGCTCCATGTTGAAAACGAGTAGTCCTCCATCCTGCTGAACGTAAACTTGGAAACAAACGCGCGCGACAGTGAAGCGATAGCCACATGTTTAAGGAGACCAGCGCTCAATCCTTGTCACTGGTGCAAAATGTGAAACAACTGCGCCAATTGTTGGAAAGGAACCGCCTTATGTCTCTATCCGTCAAGCTAAAGCCAATGTTTGAAACGAATGTTCGCGGCGCTAAGGCGAGAACCACATTTTGAAAACTCCTCCCTCCATCCGTGAAACTGTTGTATTTGTGTCAATACACGTGGCATTACGGCGAAATCAACATTTTGAAAACCACCCACCTCCATCCGTGAAACTTTTGCGAAACGCTTACGACAAATGCGCGCGGCGCTAGGGCAAAAGCCACATTTTGAACACGACATGTGCTTCACCCGTGAAACAACTGTAAGCGGTTCAAAACAACTGAATGTACAAAACCAAGCATGGAAAACGACATGTGTGTCATCCGTCAAGCTGTCGCAAAGCTGTTCAATCGAGTGTGCGCGGCGCTATGCCGAGAGCCACAATTTGAACACCACCTCTCCTCCTTCCGTGAAGCTGTTACAAATCTAAAGCTTCGCGATCATGAATGGTGAGGAGGTATGAGGCGAAACGCTCGGCCGCCCTACCAACACGTCTGGGAGTGCGACAGGGAGTTGCTACTCAGAAGGAAGAGAGGGGAGGAGGAGAAGGGAACCGGGGGGAGGAAGAATACCTATTGGCTTGTCAATATGGTATTTTCATGGTTGTGTGTTGGTGCTGGCGTGTATGGTGTTGTTTCGCGTCTCTGCCACAGTCTGCGAGCACAACTACTCTGCGCTATCCCGGGCACATCTTTTTCCGATTATCATCGCCATGCTCTGTCCCACACCTGATCGCTGCTTACTTCGTTGGCCACTGTGCGCCTAGCTCGACTTCTATTATACGCCAGTTTCTTTGTCCCATCCCGACGCTGAATTTCATTACGACTGACGTCCGCTCAATGACGTCCGCTCAACGTCAAAAGATGAGGACACCTCTCGCATGCAGCCCGCCTGCCGTGCGCGCGCGTCCGCCCCCGAGAGGAGGGGCGGCTCCTGGCTGGCTGAGGAGCGCTGCGCTCCCAACACGCGGTGGAGAGGCTCGCCGCCAGACCACTGGCGGGAGAGACCCTGCCGATGCGGAAGGGGTCGTCGTCGTCGTCGTCGTCGCCGCCGCCGCCGCCGACGCCATCGTCGTCGTCGCCGCCGCCGCCGCCGCCGCCGACGCCATCGTCGTCGTCGTCGTCTGCCAGACCTCGGTGATGGATAGGCTCGCCACCAGGCCGCTGGCGGGAAGGGCCCTCCCGAGGCGGAGGGAGCTGGTCGCCGCCGTCGCTGCCGCCGTCGCCGGCGGCATGCACGTCGTCGTCCTCGTCGTTGTCCTCCCAGACATCCAGCGCCTCCGAAAAATCGAGACGGCCTGAAAAGCAAAAGGACATATTAGTACTGTGCACCCCCCTTGGAGGCGCACGTCCAAACCGAACAATGTATAGTTTCCTATACAGCATGGCCAGAATGCGCCCGCCACTGAGGTCATTCCCCAAACAGTGCTTGCGCTTAGGGTTGTTTGTTGTTTCTTTTCTCGGGAACTGGGTTGGTGTGCCGTTTTGGCGGCATGTAATCGACGTCGCCGCCCAATCGCCGCCTCGGCGGCGCCCGTCGCCCGGGCCCGTGTGCCGCTCTGGTTGCTACGTGGTCGCCGTCGCCGCCCCGTCGCCGCCCCGTCGCCGCCCCGTCGCCGCCCCGTCGCCGCTTCGTCGCCGCCGGTCGTCTAGGCGGGTGTTCCGATCTGGCGGCTATGTAGTCGCCGTCGCCTCCTCCCCATCGCCGCAACACAAAAAAAAATGCTGCACAACACGGATTGCACAACATACATTATCCTTTCTTACGAGAGACTACCCCCTCGGATTATCAATCCACCTTGTCGTATTGCAATTTACATTTGATTCTGCCCCATCGTCTATCCCAAATAAAAAATACCTTGTCTCTAAAATTCGGGAGCGGCCAAGACGGGGGTGTCCAAGAGGGGGGGGTGCAAATCATGACCGGCGGCACGTGCGCGACCCAGCGGGGGGGCCAGGGACGTAATGAAATAAGAAGAGGCTCCATAAAATCTGGTGAAATATCATGGCCCCCGCCATGATATCCACCCCCCCGTAGTCATCACCCCCCTTTTTTTCCGCCCCCAAAAAATATGAGCGCGCACCATCCCATGGAGGCCGGTATCGCCCCCACCCCCCCATCCTGTTGGAGAAAAATATGCGCGCACGCGCTTATCCATCATCGTCAACTAAATCCTTGCAAGAAAAAGTGGATTTTTGCACACGCGCAATTCGTCGCGCGCGCATGCCAAAATCCTTCAAAAACCTCGGGTTCCGTAGCGATGTCACACTGGATTGTCAAAGCACAAAGAAAACACATGACTTCGCCACAAAGATGTTCAAAAAAATGAGCTCGCGCCCTTGCGGTCTGTCAAAGAAAAACCTAATGTGTTCAACATGTTCATACATAAAATGCTACCAAAAGGACTTCGCGCGCGCATGTCGGAATCATTCGAATGACACTGCGCACGTACTGTCGCAGGAATCCGCTTTGCAATAATAGCACGACGTGCAAGCTCACGCGTCGTCGCGCGCGCATGCCGAAATCAGTCAAAAACCCTGGGTCGCGGAAGGATTTCAAAATCGAGCGTCCCGAAACAATTTTTCAACAAAACCCCAAAACGTGGTTTCGCAAAATCAGCTTTCAAAAAAAGCCTGCGGTCGCGTTCATGCGAATTTTGAAGAAAAGCCTATGGTTGTTTCAACATTGTCATGGAATTCTGCCAAACAGGCCTCTCGCGCCGCATGCCGAAATCACTCGCACGCCCTTGCGCGGGCGGGAGGGGAACCAATCGTGTCAAATAATACCATGCGGGCCACTCTCGCGCGTCGGCCGCGCGCGCATATCGAATTTATTCGAAAACCTTCATCACCGACGCGAGGACGCCGTCATCGTCGCCGGCGTGATCAGCATCGGCGCCGTCACTGGCCGTGCCGTCGTTGTCAACATCGCCAATAGCATCGCTACTATCGTCATCGTGCCTACCAGAGTCGGCGTTGTCATGATACCGCGCCCGCCCACGTCGCCGACTCGCACTGAAATGCCCGTTGGGATGTGCCCAGCGGTCAGCGCCACCGCGGCCGCGTCGGTCGTGCCAGACTAGCTGGCCGCCGCGCGCGCTTGGGTTGGCGCGGCCACAAAGATGCACCAGCCAACGCCGCGCACTCATCGCAATCGCCGCCACGCGGGTTGCGCAAACCAAATTGCGAGCGGGTGGGCGGAAGTCTGCAAGGACATGGAATGCGCCAACTCGCTTGCGAAAATTATTCTCATTTGCTAGAAGAGAATACACCCCACCACCCCTGGGATCATCTGCCCCCCTTGTCGACTTGCAATTTGCGTTAGATTCTGCCACTAAACGTGGATTCCCAACGTGGATTCATACCATCCCCACCAAACCAGAATCGCCCCCCGGCCATCTCTTGCAAAAAACTATGCGCGAGCACTCGTTAATGAAAAAAACATCAGTGGTCAATGCAGCCGGCCCGGATTAGTAGATCGATCCTGCCAAATCAAAGCAACATTTGTGTCCTGTGTCTCGCGACCCATGCCTCCTTACCTTGCCGCGGCAATGTGGCCCTCGGAACCTTCGGAAGGGTGGTTGCGTCCTCTCGCGCGCCCTGTCCAGTCAAGTCCGCCTGTCATGTTTTGCACAGAAATGAGACGAAGTGCACGCGCGCGCGTCAATGCATCAAAAACCTCAGCACGCGCAACGATTTCAAAATCGAGCGCCCATACAACTTCAAACGCAAAGTTTCCCAACGCGGATGTCCAAAGAAAGCTCGCGCGCGCGCTCTCGGGAATTCTCGAAAACCAACGTTTTAATCATGTCCAAAGAAATGCTACCGAGCGGGCATCGCGCGCGCATTCTTGAAATCGCCCGAACGCCCGCGCGCGCGCCGCCGACAGAATTCCGCGCAAAAAAAAAGCGCTGTCGCGCCAAAAAAATAGAACCAACGATGTTTCGCTACATCAGTTACTTAACACACAAACAAAACGAGAGGCGCGCCTGGCAACCCTCAGGGAAACGACAAATGTTGAACAAGTTCAATGAACTCTGCCACACGAGCCACTCGCGCCGCATGTCGAAATCATTCGAACGCCCCTGCGCGCGTGCTGGGGGGAACGATCCGCGTCGCATACTACCGCGCGGGCCACTCTCGCGCGTCGGCCGCGCGCGCCAGTCGAACCCCCCCCCCAAAGGTCTGCATCGCCGACGCGAAGAAGCTGCCATCGTCGTCGGCGCGATCAGCACCGGCGCCGCTGCCAGCATCGCCACCAACACCGCTGCGATCATCATCGCGTCTACAGTTGCCGATGTTGCCAGGATACCGCGGCCGCCCACGCCCCCGACTTGCACAGAAGTGCCCGCTTGGGCGCGCCCAGCGGCCAGCGCCACAGCGGCCGCGTCGGTCGCGCCAAACTAGCCGGCCGCTGCGCGCGCGAGCACGCACGGGCCGGCGCGGCCGCAGAGATGCACCAGCCAACAACATGCACTCATCGCAATCGCCGCTGCATGGGTTTTGCAAACCAAGTTGCGAGTGGGCGGGCGCAACGTTTGCGCGAGCAGTGGAGTTGACGGCATCAAGTCCGGCAAGGTGAATTCTCCTTTCTACATCAGGAACAGGTTCTACCACCCTCCCCCCCCGACTAATCCACGCCCAGGGAACGGTGCAAAACGCATACTATTCTGATCCAATGTCAGTCCTACCCAGCGAAACAAGCATCGGCCACCCCGCCATCATCTTCGAAAAACTACTATGCGCGCATACTCTTTCATCAAAAATCAGAAGTTTCCAAGAATCCCTTGCAAAGAATGCGCGACGAAGTGCACGCGCGCGTCGTCGCGCGCGCATGCCGAAATCCGTCAAAAAAACGTCGGTCCCGGAAAGATTTCAAAATCGAGTGCCCCAAAAAACCTACAAAAACACATGGTTTCGCAACGCGCGCGCTCAGCAACAGCGCGCGCGCACTTGCGAATGCGTGAGAAGCCATGGTTTTCAACAGGTTCAAGCACATGCTACCAAACGGGCTTCGCGCGCGCGCACGTCGCAATCGTTCGAACGCCCTTGCGCACGTGCCGTCGCGAGAACCCTTAGCAAGGAATGAGCGACGAAAAGCGCGCGCTTTCGGTTTCGGAAATACTTCGAAATCGCGCGCCCAAAAAGCCTTCAAGAACAAAAGGTTTCGCAGCAAGGATGTTCGACAAAAACCGTGCGCGCGCCCTTGCGATTTTATATTAAAACACACACACACACACACACAAAAAAAAAAAAAAAAAAAAAAAAAACAAAAAAAAAAAAACGTGTTCATACCAAACGGGTTTCGCGCGCGCGCATGTCGAAATCGTTCGAACGCCCTGGCGCGCGTGCTAGGGTGGCACGATCCGTGACAAATACGACTATGCGAGACACTCTCGCGCGTCGGCCGCGCGCGCAATTTGAATTCCTTCCAAAGCCTCCATCGCCGACGCGAAGACACCGTCATCCTCGTCGGCGTGATCGGCATCGGCGCCGCCATCGCCACTATCATCATCATCCTGTCTACAACTGTCGTCACCACCATCGCCACTATCATCGTCATCGCGTCTAGGCTTGTCGACGTCGCCATGATACCGCACCCGCCCAAGCCGCCGATTCGCACTCAAGTGCCCGCTGGGATGCGCCGAGCGGTCAGCACCACCGCGGCCTCGTCGGTCGCGCCAAACTACCTGGCCGCTGCGCGCGCGCATGAGCGGGACGGCGCGGCCGCACAGATGCACCAGCCAGCGCCAAGCATTCCTCGCAATCGCCGCCGATGAAGTTTGCAAAATAAGTTGCGGGTGGGTGGGTGGGCTGTTTGCGCGAGCAGTGGAGTGGACAACTCATTGCGAACAGAAATGAATTGTCCTTTCTACAAAGAAAGAAGTCCTACCACCATCCCCCCCCGGACTTAACAATCCCCCCTCTTCGTATTACAATTTGCCGATGATTCTGCCCCATCGTCCATCCTAAATATGATTCTACACTATCCCAGCGGGGCCGGTATCT